TATGCGAAAAAGCGCTAAATTTTTCATGCTGAAAGCTACACGCCGCATAAGTACTTGACAGCCGGCATTCAAGGTGAAATGCATTTCGTGACTTACTTGCTCCAAGTTTTTCTATATGTCACAAATTTGCGAAATCCTGCAGTACAGGGTTAACAGCGGCATTGGGGAGTGCTGACGTCAGAGGCAGGTGGTTTGAAGTGTGCTAACAGTATACAGGCCACTTAAGTATGGTTTTCTTTCAAACTAAGCGTTTTCTTGGCTCGAAACAAGCACTACGAGGTTTCTGGAATGACATTTCAAAAGTACACGTTGATTTATATTTTGCCTTTAGTGTCCCTTTAAGCCTTTTTGGTTTCCATTCAATGTTATACTCAACAATTATTTGGCATAGTTAATTATTTCGCTACCACGGGAAAGGGGTCCTTTTTACTAGGTGTACAAAACATTTGGGGGGGGGGGGGGGGGCTAGATATTAATGCCTTATTTACATTCTTTGGTACCAAACTGTAGCTAAAAGGTTGTGCTGTCCAATAACACAAATGTTGCATATATATTTATTTATTACACACCTTAAAAAATTTTACAATGAAAAGTTTATACAGGGATTATACGATTAACACTTTAAAAAGGAGGGTAACATAAAAACTTATAAAATTGATTCAAGATATACAGCTTGAAGATTCTTGTGTTGCAAAAAGGTCGTACAATTTCAAAATTATTACCCAAAACGGTTCTTTCCCCAAACAAGAAAGTTAGTGAGGGTGCAGCAGTATATGGGTTATCCTGTGCAGCTTGCCATCGCAGAAGGGGTCTGTGCTACAAGTCCGATTCTTAGAAAAGCTAGGAACAAAAAAAAAGTCTTCTGGACATAATGCTTAATGGAATAAGGCCTGAAAATAACTCTTGAGGTATCTCAGTAGCGATGAAGGCAAGGCAATTTAACATTCCTCATGTAGATAAGGATTCCAATGCACTTCATCACTTGATCAAGACTGCAGGTCCTTCACAAATCATCTCTTTTCACAAATAACTGCCTCTCCAAAATATGCATCCACACATATTTGTTGGTGTAGTTGCAGATCATGTTGGTAAGCTGCGCAGTGAAAGACAGCTGGATGAAATCGATAGTCTGGATGAAGTGGTGTGCCATACTCTAGAGCGCGCGTCCGACTTCAACCCCCGGGCTTTGTTTCGAAAGAAACTGCACACGCTATATATGCCGGCAAGGAATCATGTTCGTAGAAGTTTGAGGCCCTTAAAATGAGTAAAATTGCTGTGATTACATGCTCCACCACCCCTAACTAGTAATTAGACAACAAAATGTGCGCCACACAAACAGCAGACACTTACTCGCTCGATGTTGCGGCTCGACGCATCCTCGTCATCAGTGCTGAAATTTAATATGTCAACATCTTCTCCAGGCTCACTGCTGCTAATTTCATTCTGAAAATCTGCTGTTGATTGGCTCAATTTGCGAGAAACATGTCTTCTTTTAAGAACGTCCACACGGGAAAACGGTGCCATCGTTGGCGCGCTTACCCAACAACCCGTAACTTTAAGCGGTGAGGGAAAACTTCCCTAAAGCAAAAAACAGCCAAAACATAGCAGACATCGTTGTACATTTTCTATTTTCTTACCTAGATGGCGTTAGCCTCCCACAAAATTATCCGCGAGCACATGAAAATTTAAACTTCAAATGCCTCGTTCAAATGGAACGATTTGAATAGGTGTGGTGGAGAAAGAGTTAGTGTATTGGGTGTCAATGTTATGGAAAATTTTGAATCAACTGACTCATACCAGTGCAGTGATCCCACTTGTGGGCCAAAGTGCACCGAATCGAATTTACTGCGCCATTCTGATAATATCGATTGAAATTGCGCCAAAGTCTGATATGAGAGCGTGTATCGCTGGCAATAGCCATGACGGCGCGTCAATACATGTGCACCTGGTTCTCGGGGTCACTGAAGTCACAATCACGTACCTATTTTATTACGCTAAATGAATAGCAGTTGCACGTGTGTCCTATGATCCTCGATGCTATATTTGGTGCCGACGCAACTCTGTTGTGCAAGTCCGTTTAACGGCGAAACGCACTTTCCGCAGGGGCTCATGACGTCTAGTCCAATTGGTAGCGTGAAACTGTGGCGGCAATTCATCGGCGGATGTCGATCGTTCTAGGAGCGCTGCTGATAGTTCATTTGAAGAGTTGTGCGGCATGTAATAAAGCAGTTTTCACTAAACTGCATGCGTGCTGCCAGAATGTCTGTCACGTCTATGTCTGGACATCGCGATCTAATTTTCCGTGCTTCGCGTCCGCAGAAGAACAGGTATATGGTGGCAATGCGTTCACACTATTCCTCTAATATACTTTGTCCATGGATTATCGTACAGAAAAGCTGTTTTGTAATTCCTTCCACCAGCACATCAGTGTTTATAATCGCTGTGGCAGTAAAAGCCCCTAAAGGACCCTGTCCTTTCGAGCTCGAGGTTGCTAGGGGTCCGAATTGAAAATTCTCCCATGCTTCCTTTTGAATTGTCATCATTAATAAGAGCATTCCTCCTGGTCAGAGAAGCCACAATTTGGTTTTAATACGCGCAGCTATATTGAGGCCATCGCTGGTAGTTCTGGTGTTGGAAGGCCTGTGAAGCAGCTACAGTCTGCCTCTCGCTTTCCGGGGTCAATAGCTGACAAATAAAAAAAAATTGAACACCGCGGCATTGTATTCATTGCTTCATTTTGAAGGGAGGGGGAGGGGAGGCTACTGCGTGCCCTCCCACACCTTCGCAATTTTTTGTTCTCATGGCATATAAGTGCAAAATGACTTTTTACTGGCCCCCTTTCCCCCCCCCCCCCCCCCCCCCCATATGTTTTGAAATATCTGGCTACACCCCTGGAAACCGCAAAAACCAGTCGAGATTGTCCATATAATTGTTATCCCATTAAAAACAAAATGGATCTTGCCTTTGAGATGTCTTAGGCCTATGCAATAAAGTACCCTGTGAGATTTTTCTTCTTATGCGCTGCTTTCTAGAGGACATAGTAAGGGGTCTTTGGAGTATAAACAGAACGACGTTCTAGCCACATAACATATTTTTGCAAGAGAAAAATTGCAGCACAGAGATCAGTGCCATAAGAATTTGGCTTTCTGAGAAGAGCTAAATGACTCCCAGCAGTCTAATCAGTCATAGTATTACTCCCAGCAGTCTAATCAGTCGTGAAGAAAAAGAACCTTTTTTTTTTTTATTCTTGAAGTCATCTTCGGGAAATGCACTTGAGACTGTGGGAGTCTCTAGCGTTGTACGTCACAGCGTTTGTCTACCATATTTGCTGGTAACCACATACATTTGTTTACATTGTTATTTTTTGAAGTACGATAATTATTCCACCAGTATTCTGTTTATTTGCTACAGAAATAATCTCTGAACAAGTTTCTCAAGAATGCTCAACAGCATGATGCCATCATTCTTGCATCAACCAAAATAGGGAGTGCTTCTAAGATGATTGGCTTCATGAAGTTTGCAATGAATCTAAATATTTTTAGCTCTTCACAAGAGCCTCAGAATAATTTTTGATCTCTTTGACTGTAAATGAAACTTGCTTCTCCTCCAGGATTTGAAGATAGTGGCTCTAGATTGCTCCAAAATGGAAAATTTTGCTGCTCCAAAAATTGCTCCAAATTGGAAGACCAATTAAGGCATTGTTGAACAATGTGCGATATTTGCAATTTTTTTTGCATAAAGTACAAGTTCAATTACTGCAAGATAACAGCATTTTGTGGATTCGCACTATTAAAAGAACGCAAAGAGAAATTTTGAGACCAACAAGTATGAAACTTTCTTCTTTCCTCCTCCTCCCCCCCCCCCTTTTTTTTTTTTTTTGCAGGATCTTATGAAAATACTATTTTTAGGCAACTTGCAGAAAGCTGTTGTGGCTAAGTGAGGACTTCTGAATGTTTGACACAGGGAAAAAATTTTTTTCTGCTAAATTAAGATTGATGTTGTTCCTGGGGACTCGGACAGCCAAATATGTTTTTTTCCTGAAAATTGAAAGGGGTTGTTGAACATGCACTGACGTTCTTATTTTTAACACACCTTGCAAAAATAAAGTTACATCTGGTGAAATAGTTATGGTTGTAATGATGTTTTGGGTTTTACATGCCAAACCGTGATATGACTGTGAGGCACTCTGTTGGGGAGGGCTCCGGAACTTTCGACCATCTGGTGTTCTCTGATGTGTATTGACATTGCACAGTACACGAGCCTCTAGCACTACGCCTCCATCGAAATGCAACCGCTATGGCCAGGACTGAACCCGGAACTTTAAGGGCAGCAGCCAAATACTGTAACCACTATACCACTAAGACAGACTTGTCACAGTTTTAGATGTTAGTCATGGTTTATTGTATCATATTGTTCATGATACGATCCAGTCCTACAGGAAGAGTGTCACAGTAGGCTAATAGACTGTTTATGCTGAGTGATTCATTGGGCAGTTCAGCTGGGAAGCGGGAAACCCTTTTTTTTTTTTTACCCTCTTGTTCATGCACTTACTTCTCAAACATTCGAAAAATTATGAAATGTCCAGAAGATGGTGTGAGCAACAAAGTGCTCCTGGTTCACTCAGTATGTATATATTATTCTCTCTTATAACTTGGGTATCAATGCTCTCATAGAATTACTCAAATGCTAGCACGTTTTAAAAAGTTTAAAACACAGAACAACACAGATAAAAAAAAGAAGCATACTAAGCATCTTTTGTCTTCAGTTAAGTGTCTTTTACAGTGAGCCTTTGTCTGTGTTGTTCTGCACTGTTGCCAAGTTTTAAGTGTGTCGCCAACTTGCCCCAAAGGATTTCTTTGCTAAGCTATGTTATCCTATCTCTCTCAAATGATGGCCTGAAAAGTTGTATGTCCCTCTTTTGTGCTTTTTTGTTTTCTATTGTTTCATTCTGGGAGCTCTCAACTTACTGTTTTATGTGCTTGTTTTGTTTGCATTAACAGATATGGTACAGGTTATTGTAAAAGAAAGTGGCCAAGTGGAAACGCCATCGTTCCCAGCCCTCCTCAATGACAGCAATACTATATTTTGGTCTATCTATGTTCCGAATGTTGAGCCAAAGAAGATGTCTGTGGCTATTTTGTTCAATGTATCCCATCACAAATCTGCAAAAGCTCCAGGGTAAGATAAGAGGCTCTGGGTTTAAACAATGGCACAAAGCATCATTGTTTCACAAATCCTGGTGACCAGTGTTTCAAAATTTATTGTTATTATATAACCACAACCATCAATTACTGTTTTTGAGAGTATATCAATGTTGTGATAGCATTGCAGTTTAACCTCTTGCACCAAGAGGTGAAACCTTCTACATCTTGCTACATTTTTTCAAAAATCTCATAATTTGCTCTGAGCATGTGCCAAAATGTGGTCTAGCATTATTTTGGAGAAAGGGGAAGCTGAATGTGCTTGAAAAAGTGTTTGTGTTAAGCTGCCACTGTAATTTGGAGTGGTCAGTGGAGCATACTGACATTTGCTGTGTAGTGGAAGTAGTTGCTAGGTGCTACCCTGCCAAACAATCAAGACTGTCCCATACTGTGGACAGTCAAAAATTGTTTTAAGTTCAAAAATTATTTTTCTTCTCTAAAACAAAAATGTAGTGATAAGATTTGCCATATGGAAAGAACTGTTTATTTGGTTTTGATTTAAGTATAAAGGTGCTTTTTAATTGGACCACTACATGGTGCGAATTGCGTTTCAATATGGATAAAAATGATGATTTTGTGAAATTTGTGATTTTTTCTCGTAAAGTTTAGCAGCTTGAGAGGTCTAAAAATATTTTTTTCTAAAAATACACCTTCTGTGGAGTAAGTACTCACTACTCAAGTATTGCAATAAATACAATGCAAACATAACACATTTTGGCTGAATTTTTGGAGCCATGTGTGCCAAAAAAATTGCACTAATATTACTGAGCTTCAAACATCTTACACAAGAACCTTTACTTAACATTTAGACCAAATTTTGTATAGAAAGAAGGAGTGGTACTTTTAGAATAAATTTTCGACATTTTGGCAAATTCAGAAGGCAGCCACATGACCAAAAAATTTTTTCTCTCGGAAATATTCTACTTTTCACTGTTTTCAATGCAGTATATCAGCACAATTTTTTTTTTTTTTTTCAAATACATTTGAGATGGTTGCCGAAACTGCTGGGACATTTGGCATGGAATGACACTGCTCCTCTTTTTCCTTCCTCTACCCTTCGGTCGTTCACTTTGCGTCTCCTCCTTCTCCATAACGACCGCATCGTTCGCTCCCCTACATTCCCCAGTGGCACATCCAGCGCGCCTCTTTTCAAAGGCGCACCTGCTACCGCGTTTCGGCAACCTATTATGACCAGTCTCATCTTGGAGCACTGCACAATAAGCAGTATGGGTATACATGGGGTTCTATGGGAGAGTAAACGGGAGTCGAAAGAGACCGCATTGTAACCACTCTTGCACTATAAGCAGTTACGTTATGAGTGGTCCACACGGTATTATACATAGACAATTCGATTAAATATTAGCCCAAGGTAGTATGCTTCACTTCATGGTGTCTGCATAGGTTATTCTGCCTTAATATGCCAGAACAGGTTTTCTTTTTTTCTTTTTTTTTTCAGCATGAATAGTTCTATTAATGTTAGATTGGATGGCTGAGCCATTGAAAGAAGTACTTTTGCAGGTGTACAGCTTAGTCCATACTGCTTACAGTTTATCATATCAAAAGCTGTCCAAGAATTCAACAACAAAATAGTTTGTTGTTATTTCTTATGCTTACTTTGCTACCATGGCACCTCTTTATCAGACTGACATAATTTCTTCCATAATTGTTGCTAGATATTATTTTGCGATACATTTATTGTGTTTACTACTGTAGTTCTCTGTTATCGAGCTATCAAATTCTTGCTTTTGTGTTACACCTGTATGTACAAGTTTCTGTGGCTCCTGCATTTGTGTTATCCTGCTAAGGTAGAAATTTGTCAGAGCATTGTTCAGAGCGGTGCTGCGAAAAGCATTTACTTTTTTCTTCCCTCATTCTCTCTGTCCACAATCAAGGACTCTGACTGTATATGATGGGAACAGCGTTCGTAGCCCTGTTCTGGGTAATGTGACTGGAGAAAACCTGCTGAGCCGAAGTGATACTATCCTGGTGAAACTCGTTACTGTAGGTGGCAATGAATCAGGTTCAGCTCTGCAGCTCAACTTCACCACTTACAGTAAGTTTTCTTTTTCTGAAACCATGTTTATTTTCAAAGGTGCTTAAACAGTGAAATTTTTTTAACTAATCAGATAAGAACAAATACCATATATACTCTCATATTAGGTGCACTTTTTTTTCCAGAAAACCCTGGGGCAAAGTTCAGGGTGCGCCTATTCCATGGGCTAAAATTTTTGAAAATTGTATTTCCAACTACAGCATAGACCGCTGATAACGTAGAAATCACCAACGAAATATACGCTACAGCCGAAACAAACTTCTTCACAGGCTACATTAGTGCAAAACGTGTTGGGCATGCAGTCACGCATGTCCGAGAATTGAAGCAGGCGATGCATTCAAATTTCCGAAAGTGAACATAAGAAGACCCGCACTACCAATGAAAGAATGCTAAAAAGACCTACAAGAAGAAAGTGCCATCGCCTAAATTTGCCGATTACGTTTCAGGCCACATAAATTATTTGTACACTAATTGGCACCGATCGTTCGATTTCGCGGGCTCGCACTCTATATCCAAGACATTACTGTCGAACCGCAAACCATCATTCGAGTTTTACAAGCGCCACTCAAGCCTTATTCCCTTCAAGTAGAGCCACCGAAAAGAGTTGCATTGATTCCGTAAAAAAAAAAAAAACGCAATATGATCACCCGCAACCGCCACTGAAAAGCACGAACATTGATTAGGCCTACTCTACGGTCTGGCATGTTGTCGCTGGAAGTTTGTACAAGACAACATGGATATTGGGCGTCGGAAAGATAGCACTCAAGCACTGATCCAAGAGCAGCGCACCTGATACAATGTTTAGGTTCGCGCCCAAGAAATCGTCGGAGACAAAAGTTCGTGGAGCTTGTGCAAGTCCGCGTGGTGGCGGCAAAGGCGAAAGCTCGCATCGGAAAGCTGAAGAGCTTTTAAATTTTTCAGACAGGAAACTTAATGCCTACTTGACGAGGTCAGGATCACGTGTTTCATACGGAGCATGCACAGCCAGCTTCTGGCCAGAGCTACGCCCGTGCATCGGTGCCAAGGTTACTCCGGCGTCCAGGCAACCGCCCTTCTTTCTCAATCAGCAAGCCCGTGGAGCTGGCGCAGCACTGCTGTGGTCATGTGTTGTTTTCTTTTTCTTTGCTTCAGATAACTTAAGGGGGCGTTAAACTGCAACCGTGCTAATAGTACAGAACTGTACTGATCACAGCCAAGTTCTGGGTGCGCCTTTTGTGTGCAGAAATAAAAATAAAAGTGATTTCTCGTGATCAAACTGAGGGTGTGCCTATTATGTAAGTAAGTATGGTATTCAATACAGAAAGAGAAGCTAATTTTCAATCAATTGATTTGGCATTTGTTGACAATTTAAACGATAAATCATTTGGGCATCTTGTACAGTCCAACCTTGTCATAACAAAACAGGCTATAATAAGGAATCTGATATAATAAAGTAATTGTAATGCTTGATTCCTATTGATGCATGTATTTAAATGTCATTTTAAAGTAGTAAAACTGTCGTGTAAGTGGACATAGCTAACTAAATCTGTCTCTGAAACCGAAAAAAAATTCTACACTTTCATGCCAACAACATGACATTCTGCAGCGACTGCTGAATGCTTGTGCAGCTAAGTGAGGCTTCTTGAATACAGTCGAACTTCTTGATAACGAACTTGAAAGTGCCGCTAATAATGGTTGTTATATCAGTAGTTCGTTGTATATAGAGCCGCCCATAAAAACCAACATAGTGGCCGAATCTTTGTGTGTGTGTGTGTGTGTGTGTGTGTGTGTATATATTTTTTATTAAAAAGTGCGAACAACCCCTCCACTGACAAGTTAGGCCTTTTTGGGTGTTAAGCGACGCCTGTTCACAATGAACTCGTGCCGTTCCACTGAATTGCAGTACCGCCGCGTCGAACCAGTCATCCCTGGCTAGTTGCGTGCAGTATGTCACTTGCCCTAGCTACTCTCGCCGTCGCATGCCAGTTTGCTTGCAGTAATGTATGCGAGTGTTTGTGCGTTCTTCACGCATGATTCACTCTGGATCATCCTAGGGTGCCGCGGGTGGCCTGTTTCGTTTTTTGCAAGCAACTTGCACAAGCGGCCTCGCACGACGCGGCAGCAGCGAACTTGTGAACAGCACCACAACGCGCTTGTACCATCTTCGCCGAGCAGTTATCTGCAGGTGACTGTGATAAGCTCACCAGCAGTGAGTCGAAATGGCACGTACATCACCACCGGCCACCTCACTATTGCTCTTTTTTATGCTTATCCGTTAAGGCACCACCACAACTGTGCGGAAGCTGTTATCACTAATCGACCGGTCTTTGCCATTACCGAAAGGTGGAAAACTCGCTTCACATCTGCTGATGGCAGTGTCGGAGAGTCAAGTGTCGCAGTGAACTTTCACGCGACGAAAGTTATCGCTTCTCGCATTTATGGCTTCTTGCGTTCGAAAGAATTGTTAGTTCGTCATCAATGGTCATTGATGCCTCCTATTTTTTCGTTTTTATTCCCCCTCACTTCCGGTCTGCCCGTGAATAAACTTTTGGAAATTTAACCACCTCACTTGCAACACCCGAAATCTGTGTATGGTGCTCGCTGCATTCTGTGATATCTTCAGTCGGAAGCGAACTGCAGCAGTGCGCACGCGAGTGCTCCTAGCACATGCTTCAGAATTTCTGTTTAACTTTTTTTTCACTTTGTATGCGCTACATTTTTACCGCGATTGTGTCGGAAGTGTTCGTTGTAAAAGTCGGAGGTGCTCAAAAATGAAAAATGTTTGCTGTATCCGGACTCAGTTTCAAAGGGTAGCATAGGAAAATCGTTAGTGCATCATAATATGGTCATTATAACCATCAGATTGTTATATTTGGGATCGTTATAAGTGGGTTAGACCACTTCCAGGAGTGATATCTTTTTTTTTTTTAATTAGTTGGTATGAGTTGGTGCCTATGCCAGCACAGTGAAAAGAACTGACTGGCAGGGACATTGTGCACAACATGATGAGTGTGGAAAGTGAAGATAAGGACACTGACCTCCCAGTTGTTTGCAAGCTAGATGTCGCAAAGACTGCACAGTCTCTAAGTCCAAGAGCCTTCTTAAGTCCATAGAACTTGGCACTTGAGAGGCATGACTTATAATTTCCTGCTCCAAAAATGTATACAAATCCTTAACTGGCTGGACCATCAGTTTGCTGAAGCAATAGCACTGTGAAAAGAAGCTTTTGTTGTTAGTTTTTTCTATTCTTGGTTTTAATGTAATATTCTTACCTTGTGCTGTGTTCTGCTATCTTGTTTTATTATGATAATAATTCTGTATACAGTAGCTACATAGTGTTGATTATGAGTTGCTATTATTAACTATTGAAACCCCCGCAGGGGCGTCTGTGCAAGCAGGCGTTTGGTGTGTAGCGACACCACCGACCCAAGCTAATGGGGGGTTTTGACCTCACTCACGCCTAGCCGTGCATGGCTGAGCCGTGTTCGGGGAAAAGGGGATCCTGGGGTTTGAGCCTACGCCGGGTGATTGGACCTTTAAGGAGGCCCCCCGGCAGAGGCAACATCCCTTTGGCCCCGGCTTCACGTGGACGGCACCCCTGGGCTGACCCACCCAGAGGAAATCGGCAGTCACCTTTTCCTATCTCTCTCTCATTACATCTTCGTCTTTTCTCCTCTTTAAAACTATCCTGTCATCTTCTCTTTTCTATTTACTTCCAAATTTCCTGGTGGCTAGGGTTAACCCTGTGTAATTGCTCAAACTTGGGTAGTTATATATGGCTATAGCGGCGATGCATGGCTGGCATCTTCAAGTGTTTTACCTTGCAGCGTCCCCTTGTTGGGTTTAATGGTGGGTGGCTACCATCACCGCCGAATATTATATTCCGTGTATGACACACGTTTTCCCCCCACTCCCTGATGGCCGCTCAAAAGTGGCGCACCGAAGAAGAGGGTGTACTCTTCAAACCAAAACAATCCTTCCCCAAGTATCATGTAGTACATAGCCAGAAAGAAAATAAAACAGTCCGATCAATTTCACCTTTTCTTGTATCGAAAACCCTCACGGAAGCAATTGGTCCAGGATATAATATCACCAAGATGGAAAGCGCCAACCTTCTAGAGGCCCGCGACAAGCTTCAGTATGACAATCTCTCAAAACTTGTAGCATTTGGGGATGTCCCAGTATCAGTAGGCCCACATAGATCTACATAGATCCATGACCACAGTTCGCGGTGTCACCTCTGATGATGATCTTCATCAACTCTCAAAATTGAACTATTAGAAGGATTGTATGACCAGACTGTGGTCAAGGTGCAGAGAATTATTATACGACGAGACAAGAAAGAAACACCCACTAAACAAGTAATTATGACCTTTGGTACCCGTAGTTTACCAGAATAAATTGAAACCAGCTACTGTAAGCTTCATGTAAGACCATACATTCCTAACCCTCGTCGATGTTTCAAGTTTCAACGTTTGGGCATAGATCGCAGAGTTGCAGAGGGCGCACCACTTGCACAAAGTGTGCATCTATTCAACACATATTCGACGACTTCAACTCAGAAGCAACTCATTGTTCGAACTGGGAAGGAAATCACAATGCCTTCTCACGATCATTCCCCTCAATGAAAAAATTCCGCCATATCCACGAAGTGAATGATGATGAGTGGGCGAAGCTCCGGAGGTAAACCTGGTAAACCATGAATCCTCTGTACGTTTTGCCCACTCGATTTTATTACATCGCTCCCCCTAGCGTACGTCGCCGCACTAAATCGAACGATTGCCTTCAACCAATGACACGCGCCATATGTGACATCATTCCTATTTTATAAGATCTCGCGTCTTTCATCAACTACAAGTACCGCTTTCTAGTTTATAACATCTTGCATCTTTTCATCATCAGCTACAAGTACCACCATCTAGTAAACACTACAAGAACTAAACGAGAGGTGGCTACATACAGGAGACGGTACCGCCATCTAGTGAACACTGCAAGAACTAAACTAGAGGTGGCTAGATACA